GCCTTCAGTTGCTCGGTGACCTTCTGATGCTCAGCCTTCAGCTGTTCGGCGGTATTGTGCTTTTCGGCTTCCGCTGCCTTTACAGCCTCAGCAACCTTCTGCTGCTCAGCCTTCAGTTGCTCGGTGACCTTCTGATGCTCGGCCTTTGCTGTCTTGAGAGCGTCGGCGAGACTATGGTCGTCTTTATTTTTCATACTGTCGGATTGCTGTTTTTTGTCGGTATCCTTAGTTGCTTCTTCAAGGGACTTGTACTGCTTTAAAATTGCTTCTTTTTCCTCTTGTGCGGCGCGTGCTTCTTTCATTGCTTTTTGTCTTTCGGCCGCCAGCGCCGCTGCTCTCTCCATCGTAGTCCATCGGTCATTTTTCGCTTTCTCCAGTTCGTTGATGAGTGTTGCAATCCTCTCATTTGCTTGGTTTAGGTCATTCGTTGTTTGATCAAGCTGGCAGTTTAGCTGTCCTTTGTCAAAGTCAGAGGTTCTCATAAGCTCGTTGTATAATTCTTCAAGCTCTTTAATTCGCTCATCACGTATATCAAGTTCAAGTTGCAGCATGTTAGCCCGTTGGTTTCCCTCTCTGGAACTGACGCTACTTTCACCATCCGTAGAGCTTAGAGTACTACGAGAGGCTTCACGGCTGGCGGAGGCGAATGATTCATCATCGTAGGCCGCTGAGGGTGATACTCCTCGAAAGGCTCCGATCATCGTTTGTTGGGGGTTGTTTGTGATTATACTTAACTCAACAAAGCAAAAAAAAGAAAAAGAGAAAGAGCAAATACAAAAAAAAAAAAGCAAAACGTGAAATATCTCAATATAGCCATGGTATAAAGAAGAAAGAGATAAAATATAAACTTCTGTTGACCTTTTTCTTCGTCACTATACTGTAAATTTGATATTAGAAAACACGTTGAAACACCCCTTGATAAACATTATATTATCACGGAAAAAACACAATCAAATTGGTCAAAGAGAACCAAGAAACACCTCTCGAAAAAAAAAAAAAAATACAAATTAAACCAATCACATATAAACACTAGAAACAAGTGCAAGTCAGCCGCGCCAACTATGCATGATAATGCTCTCTGTATAGTGACAAACGTCCATATCGGAAAATCACTCCTGCCACGTAAGGAAGGAGAACGCACAGATGTAGTCGCACTCACCTCTTGTATCTACATCCAGGAATGCTGCCAAAGAACACATGCCATGTGGGGTTCCCTGTGCGGGTTCATCGCCTACAGCGCAACAGAGAACCGGTGGCCGGTAAAGGGAACAGGCCATCAGCACGCATCACATCATCTTCATTATCGCTAGGTCTACCCTACACAAGGAGGTCATAGAGAAAAACAATACAATAGGGTTCCTCTAGAACACAAAAGTACAGAATATCCCCTCTCTTGGAGGAAGAAGAAGAATAAACTCAATTTAGCAAATTGCATTACGTCTCTACTTGCATACCTTGACCATACCCATGCATTGTTGTAATAAATAAAATAAGATAGTAAGTGCTAATAAGTGGTAATAAGTGGTAATAAATAAATCCCAGCAAAAACAAAAAAAAAAAAAAAAACGCTAGCAATATTTGCCAAAAAAAAGAGGAACACTTCGCGACATATAACAAAGCCTCCCTCTAGAAGATATCACCTAGAATTTAACCTAAAAAAAGGACATTAGATACTAGCGTGCGTTCCGTCACAATATGGTGGTTTCTTTGTCTGCTTGCAGCCGCACAAATATGCCTTCTCTGTCTTGGTTGCCTTGAACTCCATGGGCTTAAACGCTGTCTTGTGTTCTTCATTGTACGCCTTGTGGCTGCCGTCGCAGAAGGGCTGATTCTTGCTCAGCCCACAGGTGCACCAGTAGTATGTCTTGTTTGCCTCCAAGTCAACACCATATGGAGCCTTCTGCGGAACGGCGGCGTGCGTCTTGAGTGAATATGCTGCAGTATCAGTCATGGTTGTGGTTAGCAGAAAATTGTTACTTGTAGCGAGTCTGTGAAAAAGAAGCAAAACAAAGAAGAAGAAATAATAATAATAATTAATAATAATAATAATAATAATAATAATAATAATAATAATAATAATAATTAATAATAATAAAAACAGGATGAAGAAAAAGGCAGACCCCCTTCAAGACACAAGTCTCTTACTGGGTTTTCGTTTCTCCCACATTGTCATCCACACACACACACACACAAACACCTCCTTGTATTTATTCTTTTCTTTTCCATGTCTCAGGTACCCTACAGTGGGCTCACAAGAGGCAAAGAACAACGTACTGCATATTCACACATCACCGGTCTGTACACTTCGCTACCACTGCACTTATTCGACGCCGTTTCTTTGCCTCTGCAGTTAGCGGATCAGCCACATCCAGCAGTGAAAGTATACGTGGCATGTTTTTTGTTAGATCGCTTTCAAAGGCAACAGCTAGGTTTATATTATTAGAAGAACCTGGTTTTGTTCCTTTTGTAGAGGATCCTAATGCTATTCTCTGACGAGACATGGTATATTTATCTACCTGTTTGTTATTATTCTTGTTTTTCGCATTATAATCGGTGATATGATCTGATGTTTTTGTGTGAGTAAGAGAAGAACTTTGGTTTTCCTGCTTCATTGGTGTCAGTGTAGTGTTTACGCCTCCTTTAAGAGTATTTTTTGCATTTTTTGCTGCTCCGCAGACTGGACATTCTTCCTCGTTGGTAAGCATTGTTTTAGCGAGTTCTAAGCAACATTTACAAGTGGAGAAATGGCAACAAGGAAGAACAATCTCTTCAAAGCATTCCATCTCACAGAGAACACATATTCCTTTTGTTGGAGTAGGTAATAATGTTGTTCTATTGGTGTACCGTTTTCGCAACCAAGGGATCAGCGGGAACGCCTTATTAGAGAGTGCAGTAACGCGACTAAAAGCATGTGGATCATCTGTACTTGTATTCACGGTTTGTTTTCTAGATTGTGCATTCGCCTTGTCTTCATGCCAAACTTCCTCGTTGGAATGCAGCAGGCCCTCCACCTGCTTTAGTGAGTCTTGAGGTGTTGCGTTCTCCTCTTGGGCCAATTCCGCCGTCCCATCCAGGTAGTGTCGTCTAGACACATTCACCACAATTCTATCATAACTATGCAAGACACTATTCATCTGCAATGCATCCTTTTCATTATTCACCGGGGTCGCTGAAGCCTCAGGGCGTTCACTGCTCACTGGAACAAAGCGACGAACTTCTAGTTTATACTTTGTGAGATTTATCTGATGCTGTTTCACAATATCCTGCACAACGGAAGCCAGAGAAACGGTATCGCCACTAAATCCAAAACTGTGATATCGACCCGAGGCGGCAGGATGAGCACCGAGGAGTCGGTACTGCAATACACCTTCCGTTTCCATTGGCTATCCCCAATACTCTCCTTTATTGGGATAGCAATAATAACACTAGCAAGTAATGTTAAAAAATTAAAGAGAAATATAAGTGAAAAAAAAA